TGACTTCATAACAAAATTTGCAATACCACCACTCTAATGATAAAAACTTCTTATCTCCCTTTAACATAGCACTTTCTAATTCCAAAAAACAAAACAAGATGTCAGTTAAATAATTTCATAATTTTTCTTTTTGTCTGAAGGATGTAGTAATTATGTCTACATAATTTGAAAAGTGCACATAACATTTGACATTATAACTAATGAAATAACCACCTTCAATAATATATACATGTACATCAAGTTTTTCTAAGATCAGACTGATCGGTAATGGTACTCTGGTTCTAGGTTATAAAATTTAAGTACTGCTCAAATTCAGTTGTATGTATGCCATTAACTGAAACACAAAAAGCATGGAGATTCAGCAACCTGTCAGGTTGATAAGTGACATTAACTTGTCAGTCTATTATTTATGTTGTTTATATTTTATATATTATAGTTTTGGTAAGAGAAGTCAAGGATGTGTTCGGAGAACTAGTGAGTGTCTTACATTGGAACATTCAGAAATGATTGTGGTAAGTAGCAGATTTTTTATTTCTATCTTTTGAGCTCTCTTGATCTATATTCCTTATACCAGCAAATTTTGTTCTCGTCTTTCTGATGTTATTACCAGTGTTAAACAGTGGTAACATTTGTAAGAAATGTAATTTCCTTCTACAATGTGAAAGCATTCTAATTTAGTTTACGGCAAAAAAAGATTTTTAAATGGTTAAAGTCAATGTTATTGTGAATAGGTAGGACATATGTTTACAAATATTTACCCTTTTGGCAAATTTTGAAAAATTAACAACAAATAAAAATTCCTAAATGTAATTGACAGTTCTATACAAAGTGTCATGATTTGTTTGACAAAGTTAGCTTACTCTCTGTAAAACTGTCCAATTTGATTATTGCGCAATTCTTCCTCAAATTGAATTGTAAATTGTAGATTAAGAAATGTCAAGTTTGAAAAAACTATGGTTTAAACTCGTATAAAGTTTAAAAGAAATTGTGAGAATAGGAAAAATTAGTGGTTGATAAGCTTCTTAGCTGTGAAAATGTCAAAAATCTTTAAATAAGAGTATTTAAGATTGTCATCCTCAAGGCAAAATCTGAGTTTGTCATTTAAAGGTTATTAGAAAATGTCATTGGAAGTTGTAGGAGTAATCTGCTTTATGTGATAATATCAATTATAGGATTGTAATAGATCATTATGGTTTCTTGTTTTCCTGAAGGTAGAACATACCCTTAGGGAGTTGCTGCTTGCCTAGTACACTTTCATATGCTGATTACTACCTAAAGGTGATTGTGGCGTATGATAAGATGCTGACCACAAAAATACAGTTGTTTCATAATCTCTTTATAATGAGAGATAATTTAATAGATTTAATCTGTTCTTGGCATTGATAAATTGACAAACTATGTTGTAGAGTAACATCAGGTGTTTCAGAGGGGCGATAAACATTAACGTATTGTGACAATGACAATAGTTCATTTCGTGTCTTGACTAATTCTAATCAATATTTTATAATTAATTTAACTAGGATTGGTGAAGTTAGCTGTCAAGTAAGAAAATAAAAATGAATGTTGTAGTTCGTTAATATTGATAAATGGAAATTTATTACATTATTATCTTACATAAACAACATATTTCCACTGTTAAAATACTGCTCAATACATCAATTGTACAGGGATATAGAAACATTTATCATGTAAGAGAGATATCTAGTTCAATCACATTAAAAGACTATTATCTAGAAATTTCAGTTATATAAAAACTTAATAAAGCTGGTAGATTCATTTTAAATTTGTTCATTGCCGTTTTAATTATTAATGTAAAGAGGTATTAGAATCCATGTCTTAAAGAAAATTCAAGGCCATTTTAAATTGAAATACTATTTAATTATTTTGTCATCTGTGAAGAATAAGACATAGTGAAACTGACAGAATGATGTCATGACTGTTTTGAAGGTAAATTATAAACATTCCCATGTTTTGTTGAATGAAGATATCTTCCCTAAGGCTCTCAGGTTGTACCCATTAAGGATTCAATCTGCCTTGTATTAAGAAGGATTTCTGATGCCAAATTTGCTTGATGTTTGGTCTCTGTTTCTGACTACCTGCCTTATTGAATGGATCAAGTATTTTTATCCAGAAATAGAATTTCCTTGAAACAATTGAAGCAAATTGAAAGTGTCGTTAGATTAAATAGTTAGTCCACTTGACCTAAGAAGTGACGTCACAGGGGTTTGGCATCCGACTTGAAGTTTCTATTTTACATCCTAGTTTGATAGAGTATAATACATTTGAATTGTGATCCTTGGAGTTTTAATTGGACTGTATATAAAAATAATTAATTCCATAATTTTGAGAAAATGAAAAATTTTGAAATTTGATTTAAAATGGCCATGGTTTTGGTAAGTGCAAGTCAAAATTGTTTATTTTTACGCCACCTTGAATCATAATTGGATTGTGAAAAAATTGAAATCAACTGTGTTATGCTAACAAAAAATTTCTAATAGTGGCATGACTTATATCTTGTTCAGGATAAGTTGTTTTTAGGAACATGTGTAGGTTACATGGAGTGGTTTATATATTTTACCAGAAGTAACAAACATCCCACTGTGCCCTGTTTGTTAAAATGTTATTTTAGATATAACTTTATTTTGTATTTTAACAATTAATATATTATGAAAGACTCCATAAGCAAACCATTGGACATCTGTTATTGCATGGTAGGTTGTGAAGTTAATTTGAGATATTACTATATAAAGATGGATACAGGAATTTTTTAAACTTGTTACAAACCTAATTGCTGAATGGTATCAAGATCTAGCTTTATTTTATATGTTGAAGTTGACTTTAATTACAATATTTTACAGTTTTAAAGTTATCCATGTAGGAATGAAATTTGAAGATATTTTCTGACTTGTTAAATCTAAACAGACTTTAAATTGTCTTTTTTGTTTAATTTTCAGATTGATTATCCTGATCTACAGCAAATGAAAGCGAATCAACATCGTCCATTGTGTTCTACAGCCAATATAGATCGTTTACTAGCAGTTGAACCTCAGGATGATATTAGAATTCGCAGGATGAATTCAGATAACGGAATTGAACAGGTAAGATGAGCTTTCTTTGTCCTGAACAAAATGTTTTTGAATTTCTTCTGTCCTGGCACCATTTACGTTGACAGAGATAATTCAAGATTTACTGCAGGGTAAGAAGGGATGCACACTTTAAGGAGTTGAGGAGACTGTGATAAAAGTCTAATTTAAGATGGTTGTTGCTACTACCAGATTAAAATAATCTTTATTTTGAAAATACTGACTGAACTAGATGTAAAAACACAGTAAGAATATTGTTATAGGCCTATGCTTTTATTGGATTGGGAAAATCACCGTAACCCTGGCGTCATGACCAACCAAACATTGATATGATCATTTATCATTTATTGGACAGACTTTATTTTAAAGGTGATCGTCTTATAAGCTTTCAGGTACCGGTAATTCAATTTAAATTTGAATTGAATCTAAATTTAAAGCTGGCTATCTCCACCCTGATTCATTAGGGAAGTTGTAATGAGTAATTATGCACCACTTATTAATGAGGCTGAGTTAATGAGATGGTTTCCTGTTACAGTGATGCAGAAACGGAAATTATTCATTTGATTTTAATCTATCTGGCAGTTATATGCAAAGTTTAAAGTTAGAATCCCAGATAGATTTGATGTTGATTATAATCCAAATCATGCCAAAGGCATAAAATCAATGTATGAAATACCATTGTACAATTCTGTATCGAATTCTGTCTCTGTGCAGAATAGTAGAATGTCAAATGATTGTTTCATCAAATAGTAAGTTGTTCTGACCAGTCCAACAGGAGCAACTTAACAGCTTATTAGATTATATATAGTAAAAGTTTCAATCTAAACGGAAAAGAAGCTCTTTGTGACACATTTCCTTACTATTGTATATATAAAAGCTTCTAGTTGTATAGTAAGCTAACTGGGTTGATTCTAGGTTCAAATTATACTTATTCAGGAAATGATTAAGCCACATAAAAAGAAACCAAGACAAGGGCTATTTGAAATAACATACTAAATATATATTCAACTGGAAACTAAGTTCAAGTCTCTCATATCCTGTGGTGTCAAAGTCTAGTAATATAATCAGACCTCACCTTACTTTGTAATATAGGACAATAGTATGGCTTGATCATAAGGTTCCATGAGTTAAGGTCAGATTCATGTATCAGTACATGTCTGGTCTTTCTCTACATTATCTCATATACCATCCCTCTTTTTTCTCCTTTTTTAGTGGAAATTCGTTTTTATGTGACTAAATGCTCAAAAGTGTCACTGCTTCAGTGACCACCTGAAAGTATAGTTTTCACAAATAACAAGTGGCATCTTTTTAATTTAGATTTGAGTTACAAACATTGAAATATTTAAAGTCATTGGAAACTAATGTCATAATTTATATAAGTATTTTGACCTCTGGTATTCAAGCCACATATTCCTGTTTATGTAATGATTCTAAGGGTTAATAAGTGTGACATTTCTTTACAAAATTTATCCTAAGAAAGGATTAAAACATCTTTCTATGGAAATTGATAATGAAATTGTGCTGTGCAGATTATCTAGTTTTTGTAAGATATTTTCACATGACAAGTTATATATATGTTATCAATACAGCCTACAACATCATTGTCTGAATCTATAAAAGAATAAAATGAAAAAGTTACATATATAAGGTAAAGACAGCATCAAATAGAGTTGTTAGTGTGATGTTGTAAGTTGTAAAATCATTTTTATGGAATTGGGACATAATGATAACAGTTTTGTCACAAATATTTTTATCAGTTACATATTATATAGGACTATAGAGAGACAGTTGCAGCGATTCTGTTTTGTTTTGACTGAATGACAGAATGAACAACATCTTATTTATGAGAAAATTTATGATTTATGTTGTTATTTCTGATACTTTCAGTTACCACATGATTCTGGAGGACTAGTTGGAATGCGTAGTGATACAGGATTTCAACGAAGTGATCAATATTTTAAACGTAGTTCCCGGGCCAGTGATACTTCAAGTGCATATTCTGGGTCGGATATGATGCAGTCTTCTATAGATGATCCTGGAGAAAATCCAGATATTGACCTGTCTGGATTGATGGAGAGTATGGTAGACTCTGATGATGAGGACGGATATGCTGAATCAACTGATGTAAGTTTAAAGAAATCTCTAGATATTTCATGATTGTATGTTTATGATAACCAGTATAATGTTCCATTGTGTCGAAATAACATCTGAAGATTATGCTCAAAAAACTGATTTTATGCGCCAAAAACTGATTGAAATAAATGCATGGAAGTGTGAAATAGAGCAATAGTAAGAAATGATTTAAGGCTGAACTAACTTGCAATATAATGTTGTTAATAGTGTATTTAGGGACATTTACTTGCATTTAGTTTTCTTTGTAAAACTATTGTAAAAGAAATCTAAATATTGTTTATTAATAATGTTCTCTATATTTCAGTCTCTACCATTAAGAGATACAGTAAGAGAATGTCTAGAGAAAGATCCTACCTTCAGAACAGAAGATGATATTGAAACCTTACTAGAATTTATGCAACATTTTAGGGTAGGAAATCAAACAGCAATACATGTTTTATATGAAACATTTTTCTTTCATTACTCATTGTGAATTTTATCTTAAAGACAAATCATTCTTTTTCAACATGTTGTTTATTATCAAACTATTAATTTAGACTTTCAGTTATTGTCCACAATTTATTTTGTAAGGTGTAGTCATCGTGTAGCTATCATTATAATAGCTATCAGAACTATAACCAATTAAATAATAGAATGTTTATGTACAACTTGAAATTGTTTATGAATAGTATTTAACATGAATTTCTCTTTGTAATTGTACCATTTTTTGTGTACGAATATATTATAATTATTATTATTGTTAGATTGTTGAAATGATCATTGTAAAATCTAAACCATATCTTAAAATATGTTCATGATAATATAATTTTAGGCATTTTCCAACATGACATTAGCTACACGAAGATCTCTGTGTGCTGTCATGGTGTTTGCAGTAGTAGAGAAGGCTGGAACTATTGTCATGAAGAATGGAGAGGAACTGGATTCCTGGTCAGTTATTTTAAATGGAGATGTGGAGATCACGTTTCCAGACAATACTACTAAACATTTACAGATGGGTGATAGGTGAGTGTTTATTACCTTAGTTTTATTGTAAAATCATTTTCAAGCCCATGTATATAGGAGACAAAATAAAACAAGTCTCTTACAGGAGAGACATTGTTAACATTTTAATCATAAATTATTACCAGTACTGATATCCAAATTTTAACACATCTGTGACAGAAGCAGACTTCTCATAATTTTAATCTTACATAATGAACTCTATTTCAGTTTTGGTATAAAACCCACCATGCAGAAGTTATATCATCATGGAGTCATGCAAACATTGGTAGATGATTGCCAGTTTGTCTGTATAGCTCAATCTGATTATTATAGAATATTACATCAGGTAGGTAACCACCCTCACTAACCTATTCCCCTGTCCCTTCAGGTCTTTCCTTACAAAAAAACAGTGAAGGTTGACAATCAAAGACAGAAGATGATCTATTTTTATTAGAGGGCTAATAACACAAATATAAGGTGACTGATATCATGCTACTGGAAATACCTCAAGATTACTGTCTCTGATTCAGATAGAAGGCTCTTTATTTATATTATCTTACAAACTATTCTAAACTATTTAAAATGTTTGTAGGGAGAAGAGAATACCAAGAAACATGAAGAGAAGGGTCAAGTTGTCATGTTAACAGAACATCGTGAATTAGATGGTGGAAACAGAAAGGGCAATATAGTTATCAGGGTAGGTAACTCTTTATGTTGCATTCCAAGTTTTGAAATGAGTCAACTAACATGAGGGTAAGGTTAAAGTAAGGGTTTGATATTGGTATTATTGTTACTAGATTTGCTTTAATATGTTTGGAATTATGTAATTGTATTAATGACTGACCAATTTTTTTGTCACCCAGGGTACACCAGAGAGACTAATGCAACATTTAATGGAAGATCATTCTGCAGTGGACCCCACGTATGGTGAAGATTTCTTACTGACATCCCGGACTTTTCTAGATAATCCTATTATATTAGCTAATAAATTATTACAGTGGTTTGAAGAACCTGTTCTAAGACCAAAGGTAGGTTTATGGAATTTTATTTTTCATTGGAAAGAAGACTCGCTTTATTGACAAGTGTTGTCATGAAATGTGAGCAAAGTAAACTTCTGTTTAAGGTTTTTTCTTAAGTAATTAATAACAAGAAAGTATCATAATATATCAGTTCTGTCAATTTAACTTATTTTATTATGTATTTCCTTATTCTAGGTAACATTACTGGTGTTGTTATGGGTGAATAACCATTTTAACGACTTTGAAACAGACCCAGCTATGTGTGAATTTCTCGAACATTTCGAAAAACTTCTAGAAAGAGAGGTATGTGTCAGATATTTTGATATTATTTTTGCTTGTTGTAGAAATATACTTTATTAGTTACTTTGAAAAATGTTTGCTAAACGAAACTCAAAAAAGTTGATCAAAAATAGAAATCACAATAAAGTTTATAGAATTTCTAATGGGAAGATTAAAATTGTGAAATGTTATCAAATATTACAGGATAGAGATATATATATTCCCTAAAACAAGACATATCTCTTCCAAACATACATCCTATTATATCACATTGATAGATAAAGCACCTGAGTATCTAGTTAGATAACATTGAGGACTAGTCAAATCATTAACTTTTCAAATATTGTATCATATGCTTAAAATTTAAGCTTACAAGAGTGGAAGAGTTCAATAATAGATTGAGGGTGATTAAATTATGACTAAATTGTTGAAAGTAAATGTCAACCTACTCTGTAGTTTCACCAAATTAGCAAATATTTTTCTCTTTTGCATTGTGATAGTATCAATATTAGTAGGTAGTAAGAATGTACAATGTCTTCATTAATAAATGTTATCACATTATCCCAATTTTTACAGCCCATTATTTTACCAGAGGTAAGGACATCATGGAATAGCTTTTCACGCTAGCTCATAACACCTTATATATATCATAATTTTATAAGAGATTTATTATTCAAGGACAAGTTTGATGTGCATCAATATTCGACTACTAGATACATTCAGATTAAATATTTTGAGCTGTCACATATAGAATATCTTATCAAACTTGTCCTTTTTACATTATGTAACTATAGACTTAAGAGCTACATATTGTCATAATAAGTATATCAAATCCTTAACAATGATATCATCTATATTTTAAACATAGATATTCTAGAAACAAATTTTACTAGTATTATTTATTGTTACAAATGTCATTTACTATAAATTTGATATATTTGAAAAGAAATATTATGTCTTAAAACATGGATGATTTATGTAATATGGCCTAAACATAGATTTGATATTTAGAGATATTCTCAGGTATATTTTTATCAGGTGCTGTGTGAAATGGATATCATTTTAATTTTTGAACCTACTCTCTTTTATTTTTAAATAAGATCAATCTCCATGTAAATCTCTGTAAAACTTGGCTAATTTTTTAGTGTAGATTTTTAATTTCTTACAGCTTCTTACAAATAGATATAATTTACCTATAGAAGTTGTAAGCCTCGTTAACCTTTTCTCTTTCTAAAATTATTCATCTCCTTTCTATTATCTAGTAACACATTGTCACTGAAGATAACTCATTTATTTGAAACAAATGAATTTCATTTTCACTCTGAAATTTTGCCATTCACAATGTGATCTAGGAATGTCACAAATGCATTATAGAAAGAACTATTTAAAATAATTGATTTGAAAATATACAATGTCATTGATGCAAGCTTGTTACCTTTTATATTGAAAAGAGCTTGATGATACATAGGCCTACTTTGAGTTTCTTTATATTTTCTCAGCTTATCTTGTCTTTAGTTTAATCTTCCATAAAGAATAGTAGGATGTTAAACTCCATTATACTTTATATTACTTCTAACAAAAATGCTATTATGATAATTGCTGAAAGCAAAGTCCCAGTTTGTTATCGAAATGTCAATTTTTTTTTTTTCGATTTTTACACACCTTCCTGTGCTTAGACTGCAGTAGTTGCAACAACCTTTCAACTATCATAGACCTTCTATATAGGCGACGATGTGCATAAGTATAAATTGGAAGATTTTTGCAAAACCGGGAGTGCCACAGTTCAACATGTGTAAAAAGTCGAAAATCGGCTCTAGAAGGCGTATTTTTGCATCGATTTTCTTCGGGTTTTCATTTCTACAATCTACCTGTAATTTCTGACCTGATAGCACTTAAAAAATTTCAAATTTCGAAAATTCGTAGCATACATTTTTTGGCCGATTTTCGAAATTTTTGGACCATTTTTCAGTTTTTTTCGGATTAATCTGAAATTTTGATAAAAGATGCATGTCACTAATGTAAACCATTTGACATATTCAAAATTTTTGCGTCACTTCCGGTTAAAGTGGAAAATCAATTTTCACTTCCGGTTGAATAACTTCCGGTGTGATTGAAATATTTCAACGAAATTATGTATATCGTTATTAATCGTAATTCTATGGCCGATTTTAAAATAAAATTTAGTCCGAAAAAAATACTTCGGCCGCCATCTTGATTTGATACTTTTTCATAAAACTCAAAATGGGGCTTCGGGGGAGAATGGGATTGGTCAAATTTTTATGTTGGTGTATACTTTAGTCGATGGCGACAAAAATGTTGCGAATGGATTTTTGAATTTGACTTTTGCTTTTTTGCAACTTCCATTCGAATTTTTTTCACTTTTTAAAGGCTTGTGTCTCGTGACCTTGACCTTTGATGACCTTGACCTTCATAGGGTCAAAGATCATTGACCTTGGCTATCATTTGATACTTTGACCTTTGACCTCCCACATGTACTTTCGGTTTTATAGCTATCCGTAAAAAGCCAAATTCGCAACTTTCGACTGCTCTAGCACATGACCTAATTAACCTAGAGGGTTAATTTTTTCGGTTTTCTAATGTGCTTCTCATGTACTTTACATAGATATAGAACAATTGCTTTTTTAAAGCAAAATTGAAATTCGTGATTTTTTCAAATTTGAGTTTAGTTTTACCATATTTGTGTCTTTTTGATCTTGTGGTATGTATATCTTATGACCTATTCTATGTAGAACCTTGATATTTGGAATACAACTAGACACTTTGAATATGAATTCACCTATGACAAAAAAATTGGGGTGGGCATGGCACATCCGGGTTGAATTACTAATTGTTTACATTTTGCGGCTGGGGCATAACTCGCATAGGATACGTTTGTTCAAAAAGGGACTTTGCACACAATTACCTCATCCTTTTGGCCAGTTTGTGTTAACAGCTCAGTTGTTTCAGCTTTATAGTTCCAAAAAAGGAACGGGTTTTAACATTTTTGATATTTTCATTTTTCGATTTTGACCTTTATTGACATTTGTTGACCTATATCTTTTGACCTGAATTTGGAATATCTATTACCCTATGCAAAAAAAATTAAGGTGGGCGTGGCACATCTGGGTTATATTACTCATTATTGACATTTTTGGCCAGGAACATAACTCAAAGTATACGCTTGTTCAAAATGGAACTTTGCATACAATTATCTCATGTTTTGAGTCACTTTGTCTTAGAAGTTCGGTTGTTTCGGCTTCATAGTTCAAAAAAAGGAACAGGTTTTGGAAATTCAAAATTTTCAATTTTTGACCTTGACCTTTGTTGACCTTGACCTTTCTAGGATCAAACGTCATTGGCATTGGCTATCTATTTATACTTTTATATTTGCTGTCCTATGTCATCTTCCGGTTTTATAGTCGTATGCAATTAGAAATTTTGATGACGTATATCTCTTGATCTTGACCTTTTAGACCTTCTCCTTTACAAGATCAAAGGTCATTGACCTTGGCTATCTGCTGATACTTTCATTTGTGAGGTCTGACGTCTACTTCCGGTATTAGAATCTTCTAAAAAATAGAAAATTATCAACTTTAGACTTGTTCTTGCGCTTGACCTAATTATCGTCGATGGTTGATTTTTTCGGGGTCTTTAGCAAATTGCTACATTTGCTAAGTCCCACTCTGTGCCACGAGTGGCTCTAGTTTTCTAATCTTTATTAATTGTTTAATAAGTTACATTTCAGAAAAAAAGGCTTTTCGAATTATTTTTTTTAATTGAGAAGTTTTGATAATTAATTGATTGGATAAAACTATTGATAAATTTCAGAATATTTTTTTGGATAAAATCTAGGCTCTGTCCGCTTTGAATTCTTGCTTTTATAAGCTAACCATTTGCAATCAAAAATCCCTTCATATCACAGCATTGAATTTCATGCAAAAACTGAGAATGATATTTTATGTCTTAGATTAATTTGATTGTGAATACCTGTACAACTCATAAAGATATATTTACTGGTTAAACCAAAAGGAAGATATTATTCTATGTTATTGTCCCACATATACTGTCCCATATTATGTAGAATTTTAGTTATAAATATATTGCTAGACTAGATGCTAATACATGAATATAGTCAAATTTTTCAATTTCAGCCAAGTTTGGCAAAGAAAAATTTAGATTTATTCAAATATTTTTGAAAAATTTGATTAAATTCTTAATTCATTATGACCTTTGTCCCATGTATACTTTTAACCAATGGGTGATGTGTTTTTATTTACTTCTATATTAGAGAATGGAGGGACAGCATCGCTTGTTGAACATAGCATGTGCAGCTAAAGCCAGAAAAAGGGCCGTAACGTTAACCCGCGGCACAAGGGAAGAGATACTCCATTTCTCAATATTAGGCGGATTAGAAAGAGGGCATGGTATATTTATCACAAAAGTAGAGAAAAATTCTAAAGCTTATGAGGCAGGGTTGAAACGAGGGGATCAGGTAAGCCTGTAAACTTTAATATGATTGGTTATTGAATGAGTTCTTTGCTGTTTATGAAATCAGGTAAAATCTGATAGGTTGACACATCAGCTATGTGTTATTTAACATAAGCTGTTACTTGTTACTTTGTTATGTCTTTGTCTGTGATCATTGTTTTGTACTGAAGCTTATTGTGGAAAGTGGGTAACTGGTATGTTTCTGTTTTTGTAAAAACTATTGCTTGTTTGTGTTGGACAATACTATGGCTACAAGCCATAGATATGAGCTTTGAAAAAACTGAAAACTTTTTATTATTTTCAGATTTTGGAAGTAAATGGAAACAATTTTAGTCATATATCTCACAACAGAGCATTAGAAATATTACGAGGAACAACTCATCTCTCTATTACTGTTAAATCTAATTTACATGGTAGGTGAAAGTTTTAAATCTTATAAGGGATCAGTGAAGAAAAGGATACAAAGGTGATCTAATAGATAGATATCTTACTTGCCAAAACAACCTCAGTAGTTTAAAGAGATTTTTTTTATTTTTCAGAATTTAAATCTTTACTACAAGAATCTGAGAAAACAACTCCACGAAAGATGAAACCAGATTTTATTGGTCCACCTAAACAGAGGTTATCTGCCCCTGATTTAGAGCAGTCTGTGCCAGTTATAACATCTAATATCAAGGATAAGAAAGAGAAGAAAGATAAAGGATTTATGTTTACTAATAAACCTAAATTAAAGAAAGCTCTGATGAAAATGAATATCATACCCAATAAAACACTGGGCAGGTTAGTCATATTTCATCTTTAGTTCACATTAATAATTATATAGACTTATTACTTTCTGAGAAAGATTGGTGCTAGTTAGGTGATCTTGAATGAACAAATATAAAGTCACTACTGTTTCTTTTGAAGTAGTATTGATGCTTTCAAACTATCAGTAATTGTTAACCAATGTTTGCATGGAATTATGAAAAATGTATGAAAATTCCTTTTTGCCATTTACCCAAATCTGTAATTGCTCCTTATGACTTTACTGGTATGATATCACAGTAGTAATAGTCATCCAGTATGATTTATTATCTCTGTCATTTCAGTGAATCTAACAGTAATATCAACCATTCTGATGAAAGTTTATACACCAACTCAAAACCTTCACGGAAATCATCTACATCTTCATCATCATCATCAAACACCGTGGGCATGTGCAATCATCTCTCGGCTTCCAATCCAGACTTATCATCTCTAGGATTTGCTATCGATAATCTCACCACAGACTTTCCAGAACATGTAGTCAAGGTTTACAGGGCTGATCAGAGTTTTAAATATTTATTGATACACAAGGTAAGACCTGAAATTGAAGTTTAATGTATTTGGCACAGAAAGATCTGTCGAGAAAGTAGATTTGATTAGATAAATGCATCTAAAAAAGCACTGTATTTCAATCCATATTTGTTTTGTATTAAACATAAATGATAAAATATTTCAAATTTTGTTTTTTTTGACTAAGAATATAATGTTACATTTACTTCTTAATTTTTGAGACGCAATGCATTTTATACCTATTCTTTTGCCACTATTATTATCTTTCTATATATCAATTTATAGGAAACTACAGCTAAAGAAGTGGTGATGTTAGCTCTTCAAGAATTTGGTGTAACAGAATCTAGTTGGTAAGAATATTTCCATTATCTTCTAATATTCTTCTAAAAGAACTTTATAGTAGGCGTCTTTTTCTCGTTAATTTTAGAACGATTTAGTGTTTAGTGATTTTTTTTTAAATCTAGATTTTATGTAAAGTCAATATTTGAGAAAGAGTTTACAATAGTTTTGGTCCTCTATTGGATATATTTGACTCTAGATAGACGAGGCAACCAGATTAACATCCTTACATGTCATGTTTTACATTTTAGTAATTTCTCATTGTGTGAAGTTACAGTAGAAAATGATAAACTTGTAAAACAGAAACGTTTACCAGAACAACTTCAAAATCTTCCAGACCGCCTCAATCTGAATGCCAGGTATGTTACTAATTTTTATCAGGTAGATTTTTAATCAGTTAGGAATTAGGATAGAAGTAGACCCTCATAGGACAGGTCTCATAAAGATTGCTTAAAAGTTAATTTTTCTAAGAAAATTAAGTTGTCTGAAAATCATTCAATCTTTTTCTAAAGTATTTTAACTTTTGATAGAACTTTTAAGATGGCACTAGGAATAACAGTGTATGGTTTCTTGTGGAACATCAGTAGAAAATTTAGAATCAATAAAAATAAATATATCAAATGACCAGAATCAACTTTTTAGTCCAATGGATTTCATGAAACTAGTCCGTGATTTACTATACATTTTCTTGTTTTCACTGAGAAACCTACCTTGTTAAATACATGATGCTTCAAACCTAGATAACAAATAAATTCAGAAAATATTTGAGTTTAGAAATGATATAGAATATAAGAATTGATTTATCATTTTGTTATGATGAGATATTAACCTTTTAATTGGCAATTATGAGAAGATAAACATGGTGTATTTTGAGCTTACTTTTGTTATATTTCAAGTCAAATGGAAGTATTTCTATATATTTCAATGATATGTTTTCTGTCACATATTAGCCTTAAAGGGTTAGTGTCATATTTCAAAATGATAAATCTAAATTTAGCGCTTCTGCTTAACATTTGTCCCATGTCAAATTACTAACATATCATTTTTATTGAATTGTTGATATTTTCTTACTTTTTTTAAGGTTTAAGAGCATATTATATTTCTCATGAATTTTAATGCCATATTTATTGCACTGAATGCATGTCACAATAAATTTAAAAATTGAAATATATACTATTTACTTGTTATTATTAGTAGTATACTCTTACAAAAGTTTGAGGGTCAGACTAGAGGTCTATCAGAATTTAAGAAACAAATGAAAGAATTTTCAAAAATTTTAAGTGCTGAAAAGGGGGATCTTTATTTGAAAGTTGATTGATCGACACAAGTGAAACAGAATTTATATCCCCTATATCCCCATTCATATTGTGTCTGTTTCCCTACATGTTATGTTGTGTTAGAGACCTTTATGTTCTAGTCTGACCCTACTGTTTTATATATATATAATGATATATTGTGTATTTGTTCAAATAGACTTGATATCCAAGACAAAAATTTCTCGCTTCCCATGATTTTTAATTGGAGAATATAAATTTTAAATAAGCGAAAATTTACACTTGCACATCAAGTCTCTGAACTTATGATAAAAGTGAACACTTGATGATCCAGAATTGCAGATTTTTTCAGAAGAGTTATGCCCCTTGCAGTCAAAAGCCAAAACTCAGTAAATGTGGTGGGATTTATGTTGTAATTTTTTTCATTGGTTAATTTTGGGGCGAACGGTGCCAGAAATTTGCATGAAATTCCCCAAAATTTTAAATTGTTGTCATTCTCTAGTTTCAACTAATTTATTTTTGTCAAACTTTTTGTGTTTGTGGCAAAAGTTAACTTTATAATTTTGGTTTTCTCCCTGGTTTCCATGGATAAGGTGTTCCTTTCCCTTTGTTTGTTTTCATTGTTTTGTTTCAAAATATTTGAAAATGTTGAAAACCATTTTTGAATATTTCTTTTGTTTTATGTTCATTTTCATTCATTTGCTTTTAATGTCCTTTTTATTTTGAAATCTTTTTATCTAACCCTCTTGGTGTATGGCTTTGCTTTTTGAACACAAAATATTCATGATTTCAATGATTTTTTTTTTAAATTGCAAAAATTTGCAAGAGATATTTAAAGTAATTATCATGTCTTGAAAGTGAAAATTTTGTGTTCCGAGCTTAATTAACATACTAAGTGAAAATGGTTTAATTAATGTTTGGCTTTATAGATAGAAAATAGCTTAAATATTTCAATAACTTTTAATGTATCAGCTTTCATTAGAACAGATGCTTCTTATGTATGGATCCGTGTCAAAATCAGGTTGTCATAATGACTCCTGTATAATTGTCTCATCATCTGACTCTGTTAAACATGCCAGAAAATGGTTAATTTATCTTGATCAGCTATCTTGTGATAAAGTACTAATTTCATGTTATATACCAGTATTGTACAATTTACTTTTCAATATCAAGTCAGACATTAACTAAAGAATATTCAACATTTAGAATCTTTTCTTTTACGATCAAGTTTTGAAAAATACAAAAATTTATATAGTTTAATAGTTATACATTGATTTATTTGGTTCGATATATTTTTGTAAACAATGTCATGCAATCGAATCTTATTCAAATGAAATTGGGCTTCAACGTGAATATCTGGCAATACCAACAAATATAATTTCAAAATTTGATCAACAAAAGCATGGAATGATATGTTATTTATAAGTTATTAATTTTGGGATATTGGTTTATTTTATCTGTTATTTTTTTTTCTTTTTTATGTCTTTTATTTGTTTATTTTCTTCTAATTTGGCTATATTTCAAGATATATTACTGAAAAAAGATACATAAAAGAATGGACAATTGTATGCATGTCATTGTCATGGTTATGTCTTTCTTGCATGTTCGTTAAATATTGACAACGCATGTTTGCATGTCAATCTGCGCTACTGTCAAAAGTTCCTTCCCTTGGCTGTAACATACTTTTGTTTCATTTGTTGTTTGATATTGGCGTTTCATTAACTGATAAATGCTACAATTTCATTGGCTGTTGTTTGAATTCCTCATCCCTGTTTAAATATTGTATTATACTCTTTCATTGGCTGATATAATTTAATACTGCTTTTTATTGGCTTATTAAATATAACACAATGAATTGTTTCTTCATTGTTGTAGCCTAACCTAAGCATGTATCATTGTCACCAAAAATATTTTGTTAAATATTCAAAACTTCAAGGAGAAAAGGGAATGGACATTTTAATAAATTGACAGTAGCCTAGAAATCACAGTTAAGTAACCACAATTTGTTGACGGCTATTGCTAGGGGCTAACACTTCTTTTTATCTGCCTTCCGGAACATAGACGAACGCTCCCTCGTGCTCTTAGGTACTACCTCAAGAATAATATGAGCACAGAAACCCTGGTACCGGATGAATTGATGGGAGAATTGATCAAAGAAAGCCAGATTAACATCCTGCAACTAAACACTGCTGAGGTTGCATCACAGCTTACTCTAGAAGACTTTAAAGTTTTCCGAGAAATTGAACCCACAGAATACATTGATGATTTGTTTAATCTCAAATCTAAATATGGCTGCCCAGCACTTGATAAATTCGCAGAGGTTTGTTATCATATATATTTGCTATTCATTCAGTTTGAACTTTGATTTGTGATGGAAAAGTTCCATATACTACAGCCATTTTTCATGAAAGATGATTTGCTGAATGGACATTGAATGAAAATAACCTTATATTGTCTGAATTATGAAAATAATTTAATTCAAGATTAAGCTCTTATTCATAGTTCTCATAGTGAAATAAAGAATTGTCCTGGTAGAGGATAACTGACTTTAATCTGTTGTATATTTCACAGGCTAATTCACTGGTGCATGATATGATGTATAAGCAAAATATTAAAGGCTTCTTCTGATGTTGGATATTTGTTGATTTTCTCTGTGTGATTAAATTATGTTTTGTATTTTCAGTTGGTAAATAAAGAAATGTTTTGGGTAGTAACAGAAATCTGTAGTGAATTAAATCTAGTCAAACGAATGAAGCTAATCAAACATTTTATCAAAATAGCCAGTAAGTATAAATGTTAGATAAAGGTTCTAATTTTCCAGGGCTATTTCTCCAACTATTGCTGAAAGGATGTGATTTTGTCTTACATGACCAGTTATCTTCACTTCCTTAAGGATTCTGGCTTCTATTTGCATCATTCCAACAGATTTCTGTGGTTCATCTTATTATAAAAGTGCTTAAACGTATATAGCATCACTGTTCAAACTCTTGCGATAGCTACACGGTCTATTTATGCAAGAACCACAGACTTCTGAATAAGAATTAGAAAGATGCAAATTGATGCTATCGGTGTTCCCAATGCACATTAAAAGTTTAATTTACAATCCCTTGAACCTAATGACTTTTGCAAAGATGGCATCTGTGTAGACTCTTATGACAATGATTATAATAAATTATAGCAGACTCTATCTATCAAGAGTTAGTTGTTGTCTACCTTATCTTACACTAAAGTGTGATGATTTTACTTTCAGAACATTGTAAAGATTGTAAGAATTTTAATTCAATGTTTGCTATAATCAGTGGATTGGGACATGGTTCAGTTTCCAGATTACGGAATACATGGGAACGTCTACCAACTAAATACTGTAAAATGTTCGACGTAAGTAATTAAAGATAATTTTCCTTGTGTTTGGGAACCATTTGTTTGTTTTAATGACATATAACACATTAGCTGAAAACTAATTTAACATATCAATTGTATATTATCTAAATAACTTACTTTTATAATTTTGACAAGGGTAGTTATATAGGTTTCTGTCAATTATTTGTAGGATTTACAAGCTTTGATGGATCCATCTAGAAATATGGCGAAATACAGGAATCTCATCATTAGTGACCATGTACAGGCTCCAATGGTATGATTTTATAGACTTTAATGTTGAATTGAATTTATTATTGATGTGTATTTACCACACTGTGGAGTATTGAATATATGCATGAAGATTTCCTTCAAAAGATTTTTTATCCCATAGTAGACAGTACAAATCTGCTTCAAGAAAGATAACATATTGTTTGATTTCTTTTTAGCTTCCTTTTTTCCCCGTAGTAAAGAAAGATTTAACATTTATTGAACTTGGAAATGACACCATGGTAGATGGTTTGATAAACTTTGAAAAGTTACGAATGATAGCTAAAGAAATTAGGCACATCTGTAACATGAGTTCTGCCAAATATGTAAGTACTTCATAAATTTTACAAAGCCTTACTAGTATCTGCTGGAAACTGAATCAAAGGTTCAGTACAAAAAACATGCATAATATGTAATGTATTATGTTGTTGCTTAACCTTCTTGATCACCCGATTTCGTTCTGTGATTGAGTTAAAGATCCTAACATTCCAAGACTTCATAATTAATTTATTTTGTTATTTTCATACAGGACGTGAGTACGATGTTTCTAGGAACATCAACAATGTATTCGAGTTCTTCTCTAGTCTCCGGTGTAGCTACTTTAAAACGTACCAAAATACGACGAGGGTCCACTGTTCCAAACCCTAAAAAAATGTATGAAGAGGTAATAAAATATAAATATATTTTTTAGAATCGCAATTCAGTTTCTCCCTGTTAGAGATAGACATAAAACCCTGTGCTACAGACTGCATGTTAAAGATCCCTAGAAAGTTGAAAATCAAAAAGGATTTGCAGTCCTGGCAAAATGACCCTCTCTATACACTGAAAGGGTCTGCCTGTTTTCTGTGTCTGAAACACAGAATGAATAAGTTTAATGTTAGTATTCCAACATGGCTGTAGCACCAATGTCATCTGAATAATTCTATGTTAAACATAGTAATTAACTGATCCAGTCAATGGCTTATTCCAAATTCCAACAGCCTTGTAAAAATCAATATATTTATTTGTAGGCTCAGATGGTACGGCGTGTCAAGTCTTACCTATCTAATATTAATGTTATAATTGATGAAGATGAATTGAAGGTATTATCTAATACTTGTGAAGTTCCAGGTATGTATTACAAGATCAGATTATTTGGCTGATTTGTGAAATGTTGAGATTATGTTGAATTATCACTAAACCATGGCAATGCCAAACTAAAATATGTTGTCTTGCTCAGTCTGAACATTAATAAAGTTACACATTAACAATAAGGAAAAGAAAACAAGGAAATGTCTTGAATTAATTATGAGGGTAAAATTTGTTTCCTGTTTGTTTAATGATAAGGTTGTTTAGATGTTAAGTACAAAATGATATGGTCATCATTTAAAAACATATTTCTACTATATTTTATGGTAATATAGGTGCTATGACATATTGCCACTGAACATAGTGAGCTATTCTGGCTTATATCTCTGGAAGTGTCTAGATATCTTTGGAGTATATCTGTTATAGGTTTACAATGTTTTCTGGATGCTTTTCTTTCAAATGTAAGATTCTGTTTATTGTTGATTTTTGTACAAATATCTATTATCAACATCAAAAGTCAGAAATCTTCACAATGGTTCGTAAATTTTGTTTCAGCTCGCCGGAGAGATCCATCTCCAAGTGTGAACACAGGTTCACCTAGTATGACTCCAGAAGAAAAACGCCATGTCAATCTCGGACCAAAGTTTGGTAAGTTTCATAGCATGCATTGCTTGTCTTGCTACATTCATGTTGTTGGTAATATTCTCATGAATATTCATTTTCAATATTAACCGATTGCATGATAAATTTTCAAATTGTCATTTTGTTTGCATTAGTGAAATCCATCTCTGTCAAAGTTTCTTTTTGTCAAATTTTTAGAGAATGATTGAAAATCTGTTGTAAATAGAAGAAATTGATTTTAAAACATAAAATTGAAATATTTTCTTAATCCCTTAGTTTGGTCATTTTACCAAGAAAATAGAACCCTCTTTATTTCATACAAATCATAATCTATAGTTTTCAGTAATTCTTTTCTCAGGACTAAATTATTTTTGACCTTCATTTTAGAAATGACTGCAGCTAATTTGATATTAAGATCTAGAATTTTAAAACAGTTTGTGTAGACTTTATTTTTATCCCCCTTGTTGCAAAAAAAATTTTATGTGTATAATTTGAAAAATGAACTGTCTGGTAATGACCAAACTGGGTTATCGAAATGAATGTTGAAAACCTATATTATCATTATGCTTTGCATTTCATCCTTTTCTGTTTGCATGACTATAGGTCACATGACCTCTCCCTCTTTTGTTTGATAGGTACCGCCTCTCCAGAACGAGTTCGGAAACTGATGGCCTTATCGGATAAAGTTCGTCCACATAATCCAAAAATTCCCGTCCCCACAGTTACGAGTCCGATTAATGGACGTCGTCATGGTAGTCCGCGACATGCCAGAGCTTTACCAGTTAATTTATCTGTAGAAAGTTCATCTGTTAGCGGTATTAGTCGTAAACCTAGTCGTACTGGTAAGATAGAGTTGTCCCCCCTAAGCTTGGGTTGCGGTTCGCTGCATGATGGTTGTGGTTTCTATTTTCAGTAGATAATAGTCTTGATTACACTGGCACTTCTCACCATTATATTTTAAAGATCATATTTTGACAATATTCAGTATTTTCAGATATATTTAGTACTAAAGGAAATGTAAGGAGGTTTCTGTCTGTGGGTATCTATTTTGTGAATATACACCAATCCTGATCAAACATGAGTAGAAATGATGAAGGTTACCTTCCTTTTACTGAGTAAGGACAGCCACATAAGTTGTTCTAACCCAGACAAATAATTTGTTCCATGTCAAATACTATTGGTGTAATATGAAGGTGGATGGATACCCTGTTATGCCAGTCAATATCTTTACATATACCTTTAGGACTCGAGATTTGGAAATACAGCTTTTTGTTGTGAGAAAGTGCTCAATAATTGAAGACTGATGTAATCTTTAGAATTTCAGCTTTTTGTAGTTTAGTTTTTGCTCTCTGGCCATATTAGAAAAAAAATGTTTTTTGTTTCACTTTGCCCATCTACGTGCTGTGAACCGCAACTCATATGCAAATCCTTTATTTGTTTTGCTTTTTGTCAAATGTCGATATTAGCTGTGGTCTTGATTTTTTTTTATTGAAATTTCGTACTTTTTATTGAAATGTACGTTTAAAAAGGAGGATTAGCCTTTATGGAAGGATTGATCTTGCAACTTTTCAACCTTTTCTCTCTTTTCTTTGCAAAGAGCATGTTGAATTGAATAGATTGTTTATGATGTCTTTCTTTGCATGAGTTGTATGCAAGTTTTACAGTTTTTGTTGTATGGTTTTATCAATGAATCTCGCAACTAGCAAATGGTATTGTGAACACACCAGGCAAAACTTGATTGTATGGAAACTTGATAAGTTAATTTCTTAAAGAGATATAATACAAGACATTAATATTTACTTTCTGTCTGTATCAATAATCACAATCAACATCATCAAATATAATAATAATCAAATAAAACAAATTGATCAAAATATGAATGGATAAATGAAAGCATGAAGAATTTGAAACAAATGAATTAAGATGTCACAGAAATCAATTTATAAATCATAATCAATTTAATTGTTGTTAGATAGGCCTTTAATTGCTGTGTGTTGTGTTACTTTGTTTCATCCTAAATTTTTACATAATGTTGTTTTAACAACAAAATCACACAGGGATAAACATATCAATGACATCCAAACAGTAGATAGCACTGGGAAATAAAGAAGATTACACATGTATATTGATAATGGTTTGTGATTTCAGGTTCTATAAATTCCACAGACTCTGCCTCTCCAACCAGCAGTATCAACAGTTATCAACATCAGTATGGATCAGAAACAGATTCTGGACATAACAGCATTATGTCATCCAATTTTGATAGTCATAGTACGAGTTCTGTTGGCTCGTGTAATTCTCCACCATTTCAAAGAAAATCTTCCAACCCTCATCTTCATCCTCATCATTCACACATACATTCAGGTGAGATTTCATCTTCACAAGTTAAAGGAAAAACGATAGAAGCATCCATGTCTTAAACAGCTGTTCATTACTTATTTTGGCTTTATGTTTCCTTGGGAAAATAAGGAAAGTTGATTTATTCATGGTCATCTTATTAAAATCCAAACCAATAGAATGATTTCAATATTTCAGGTACTCAATCTCTTCATCTACCAGCAGGGCCCCGCCCACCTCTCCCCTCATATCAAACAGTGATGCAGAACGCAGCTTCTCATTCAATACCACATGGTAGGTCAACATTAATCATTCTCCACTTTTAATCATGCATGATCATACTAAAGCATCATGATCAGAATTTAACACTTAAAATCTTCAGTTCTGACACAGCACATTACTGTTTTGAACCTTTTTCATGAAAAATTAACCACAAACACAGAAATCTGAATGGTTATCAGAGCATGTTCACAAATAAAAGGACTGGAATTTGTATTGAAGTACCTACATTAGAGTGTATTTTTTTGATAAAATGTTAACCCAAATACTGATCGAATATTAAAGTCAGACATAGAGAACATATTTTCAAAAAAAGAGTAAATACTGGAAAGAGCATGAAAATAACTAGATAACTTCAGTGTTGTAGTCTTCATTCCATTCTTTAACATTTAATATTGATATCAAGTTTGTCTCTTAAGCTGTGATCTATCCAGCTTGCACATTAAATGAACTGCACCTGAACCAATTAAGGGTTGACACCAATAATGATATTTTTTCCTTTCTTACAACCAGATCACCAAAATCTGACTAGTAATTTGTCTATATCTACAAGATAATAACTATTGTGAAAGTAAAAGAAACAAATTAACTAATAATGTCTTTTGCCCATGAACCAAATGTTGTCTGCAATAATAGCATGTTGCTTATCTCCCCTTTTCTTCTATTTTTCTTCTCTAGTTTCTGGTAGTTACATACCTCACTCACACTATGGGCGACGGCCGCCATTACCTGATTACCAGGCAGCTGCACACATGGCCAACTTGGCACGGCAGAAACAGTTGTATCACATGGAACGAGCGAATGCTGCAGGGTATTATCAGGATAGTGATTATGATATTCCAAATAGCGGTATGTATTATCGCCATGGTAACATCATTAAATGAATGGGATGCATGATATTTCATTGCTCTGCATTGTCACCCATAAATTATGTGCAACCCTGATGAAGATATGAGTTTCTCTACTGAGGGTTATTTAACAACGATATTCTATCTTGCTCTCACGTGCTGAGCATTTTGGAATCTACTCTTGCTAAAGCAACCCTTTACAACTTATTATGATATTTCAGTGGGATAATCTTTCATTTGAAAAAAGTCTTGGAAGAGAACATTTAAATTTTTGAACTAAGAGAAAATCATAGTTTTCAAAATGTATTCCCTATATATTTCAGAATGTGCTGATGAAGAACAAGTGTCTGCTGTTTGACATAAGGGGGATAACTCCTCTTAAGGAGACAACTAAACACTCAATACAGCTATTTCTGGTGCAATGTATATCTGTCTCAGACTGTGATATAGAAATATTCACATTACTATGGCAACCATCTTGACTTACATGATTCCAGTGATCTTATTGGTGAATTAGTTGAAGACTCTATAGAATCTTGTGAGATTACAAGGATCACATGATAATCATTCTAACATTTGATTGGAGAAGATCTATTTGAATAATCTTACAAGATACAGACTTTTGATTGGCTCAGACCAGTCACATGACAATATAAGGTTAATCGCCTTCTGTGCTAAGATTTGAATACTCAAAAACTCAGTAACGTTAGTAACACATTATTTTAGAGTGCTTTTATGAGATGCCGCAGCATATTTTTATTTTAAAATGGACAATTTTTTTTGCCAAGTCTGTCGGCATTTTATGGATTTAGTTTTTAAACCGGTATTTTAAACAGATCTTGCCAAGTTTTAATGTGCTTCATAAAAGTGTCTTGATTCTGCTACAAACATAAATGGAGTTATAAAATCCTAGTAGATAAAACCTGGTGAAAATAAAGAATTCCAAGTGATTTTCTTACTACAGAGTAAAAGCAAGTTGTCAGCCTTTCAACCTTCTGGAATATATTTTATACTGAACTCAATGACATGACTATAAGGTGTCAAACAACAACAGTATGAATATTGACAAACACTGGGAAAATGTGACTTTGATAAATGATAATACCTATAGTGAAAATCAACATTTATAATTAACCAGAATTTGAAATCGTTAGTGTAAACCATGATTGCGGTTATCGTTTGTTGATTTAAGGGAATGTTTAGCTTGAATATAAAACACCATTTCAAAAACCATTCTGATCATTGTAATGATGTTAAAACCAGACAACTATAATAAGGTCACATGAAAGTTTTAAAGCTTTTTAACATGATCTTTTAAAAACAAACTGTGAATATGGTGCTACTCGAAACCAAGATAATTATTTTGTTTTATTGATATTAAGAATAATGCCCTGAATAGAAACTTACATAACATGGTTTTTGGGCTTTCCTGAAATCTATTCAAAAATATGTTTCCAATCTTGTAAAGATTATGATGTAAACAGATTATTAAAAAACTTTAAAAATTATTTGTTAGTTATTGTTTAAATTGGCATCAAATACAGACACGTCTAATTATCTGGTTTATTTTGACAGCACTTAAAGTTTTGTTGATACCTCAGTTTTTGGAATATCTGTACTTTGTTCAATTCTTATAGTTTTACTCTTCACTTTAAGGGAACATTTTCGTAGTGTTGTATGGCAGTACATCTGTTAATAGAATTTTAGAAATTGTTCAATATGTCAACTTTATTTTATATTTAGAATCTTTACAGCTAACTAAGTAAAGATTAATGGAATGTAGCTCTGAATTGCCCAGAATCATGTTATGTAGGACGTTGAAATAATGTTGAATTCCTCATTTTTTAGCTTATATTATGTTTATTTATAATGCACTGGTTGCATTTACATTGAATTTGTACATACTTGTAAATAAATAATAATGAAGCTGTTTTTTATTTGCTGTATTTTATCAAATATTGCTTGACCTACTAGTAATATCCATGTTTTTTGCAGGTTTGATTAAACGTGTGTGTTTTAATTCTCATCTAAGGCTGAGATTACTTTAATCTGGAAAATAAGAAAATAAAGATGAAATGATGGAGCCTCCTTCCAAATAGAAACATATATGAAGACTGAGCATTATCTTCAAAGCTTAAATCATTCAGTTTATTCCACTTCGAATGAAGAATTAGATCACATACAGCAAAGTTTACCATACCTTTTTCTAGTCTAATGTAAATCCCACCTTAGTCTGAACTCTGCAGGTTAGAGAGAACAAGATTTTTTAGAAAGTGGAATGAAAGGGGTCAACAGCACATTTTTTAGGCGGTTAAAAGAAAATTATAAAGAATGTTTTTAAATTAAGAATGAAAACCATGGTTGAACCAGAATTTCATAATTTAAGAAAATTTACATAAAAACCCATTGAACTTTAGAGGCATTTCAGTTTTGTTAACCAAACCTTACCTGGGTTTTCATTAATGAACCTTTCTAAACATGTCAGAAATCTATGCCAGGAAGGTTGTGTCATATGCTTGGGGAAGAACCTTTCCATTTGTTTTATTTAGAAAATGATTATTTGATTTTATTTATTGAAGAACCCAAGGTCTGAATCAAATGTTGAATGAAAACTGTTGCATGTCATTGGTTGAAATTTAAACACCCAATCCCAAAACCTCAATAAACATCCTTAACCTTGCTATTTTACTCGTTAAAATATTTTTATAGTTCTATTATGATTTCTTGCTCCCTTTCAGATGCTTGTGTGTCATGATCTTAAAAAAGATAATCCCTGATTTCCCGGGCAAGCTGTTGGAAGGATTTAAAATTGACAAGTCTGTAGCTGCAATGCTACCCCTGTGCAATGTCCATATTCTCCATTTCCCCATTGCGATAGACGGTATACTGGACACAATTATATGGATGACAATTAGTTAAATAAATAACTTACAACCTTTCGACGATGATGCTTTCATCTTTATCAAGCAATCATCGTCGAAACCTCGCAAGTTTATTATTAAAGTAATTGTTATCCACATAATAGTGTCCAGTTATTCATACCCCAGTTACTAAATGCCACTTAAGGAAGCATTATCAAGTAAGTTGATCCCTATCAGTGCTGTGGAGGTATAGGGGGAGGCATTCGCTCTCCAAGAAGATAGCTTGCCAGCCAAGGTAATATACGCCCACTAGCAGCTTTGATTTTGAATAAAAATATTTAGCAGTACAGTAACAATCACCAGTATGAAATATTCAACCTTCAGTCATACGCTTCTTCCGAACTCTTTAGAGCGACACTGAATAATACTGAGTACGAGTTATTTCCCATGTTCAATTTTTAGCTCGTGAAAACTCTAGAAGGCAAATATTCAATCTTCAGTGAATAATAAAACCAAGTTTTGTCAAAATCCAGCAAGAATCATGCCTTTTACTGTTTAAGTGCTAAAATTGAACAAGAACAAGGGCAATAACTCATACTAAATATTTTTCAGTTCTTCTGATTTTCAATTATTGAAAATCAGAAGAATCGAAAAATATTTAGTATAAGTTATTGCCCTTGGCGTTTTCAAGAACAACGGCAATAACTTATACTAAATATTTTTCAATTCTTCTGATTTTCAATAGGGTTCATCCCATTTCATGTGGGCGTATAAAAAGAACACAATGATAGGATTAAGAATACACGATAATTCATTAGAAACACCAATTTATCAAATAATCTAAATAAAAAAGCATCACTCTAACCCAGCCCAACAATGAAATAGCTCAGTCGGTAGGAGTTTGATCCACAACTGCAAGGCAATCTGTTGAAGTCCTCAAGACAAGAAATGGAGATTCACTCCAAAACCTGACCCCATTCAAAACTTTTGAACAACCTAGTTGTTTAATGAAGAAGGCAAGATTGCTACCAGTGCAGGTGTAGAAACAATTGGAAATTCATAAAATTGACAACATCTTGAATTAAAATTTATTTCATTTTATAATTTTTTTCATCAATTTAAGCAGTTTGTATTATGAAGTGGTAGCCATGATTTTATTTACAAGATGACAATTAAGGAGCACTATTCTGAATATGGAATAGACATTTTGGTGCCAACAAAGATGACATTTCACATTTACCGGGGATTTAAATAAGAGGCAAAACATTACTCACAATATCAAATTATTGATTTAAGTTTCCTCCTTACATATATGCAAAACCAACATATTGCAATAAAATGTTTTAAAAAAAGAAGAAATCAACAATAACAAATTACATAAAACATTAAAATTTACTTCTTAGTTGGTTTTGGGCTGAAACTGAAATGCCCAGTGAAGAAACAGCTCTGAACACATAGAAACCCTTAAGTTTGAATACCACAGGTACCCCCCCACCCCTTTTTAATCCTATTTTTACACCCAGAAACTTACACTGAATTATGGCTGTCACAAATAAAAGGAATATAACATTAAACTAACTTTTGATGAAAATCTTAACAAATCCATCAAAAGTTGATCTAGACTAGCCTTTACATGATTTCATAATAAATTTACATGCGAATGTCATGTGGTATATTTCAAGATTCAATTCCATATTCTTCAATCGTCAAAAGTCTTTCTTCTGTTTTGTCCTGAAAATGTAGAATAAATAAAGATGAAATTTTACATTTGATATTAACTATTCAGTTGCTTGAGAAATGGAAGACCAATAGTGTACGTGTTCTATATTCATATCAGAATCGTCAAGTTTTAATTTCACATGACTTGACATGATAAAGTACTCAATAACCTCACTAAGATCAGTCAATAGATATTCTCAAATACTAAGCATTACAGCTGTTGTATAGTTAAGTACAATATGGATCTGAATATATCTTGAAAAAATACTTCCTGCTCAAAGATTACACAACCTACAGCAGTTTTAAAAGTTGTGAAAAGTTTATCTAGAAGATTAATTTCAATAACTGCTCCACTTACCTCCACTACCGAATCCACCTCCACGGCCACCAAATCCTCCTCCACCTCGTCCACCTCTACCACCACGGAATCCTCCGCCACGTCCTCCACCACCACGACCTCTGAATCCACCTCCTCCTCGACCACCTCTAAATCCATCTCTTCCACCTCGGAAACCGCCTCCACCACCGGAACTTCCTAATATGACAAAACCAATTTAATCTTAACATAATCATAGACAGTGCAGACAAGATGTACAGATATTGAAAAGATATAGAATGTAATACATGTAATTAAGAAAACTAAAGTGTTTAACAGGTAAAATGTATCAAAGTTGGAAGAAATGTACAACATAAAGCTTAAAGATATGCTGCTGTATTTGATGGAGCTGTGGTTTATTATGCTGGTAAATATATTAGTAACCATCAAATGATCTATTGTTGAAGTTTTATAATTGTAGAGGATTAATCATCACGATGGAAATCTTGTAGCATTTAATTCTTGAGAAATGATGTAATTGAAGCAACTTACCTCGTTCATGTGCAAATTCAACATATACTGTTCGACCATCTAATTGTTGTTCATTCATATTTTTCATGGCTTCTTCAGCTGCTTCCACTGAGTCAAAATCAATAAATCCTCGACTGAAATTAATAATAGAATTTTAAAATGTATTTAACTTTTGAAAATAATTATTTACATGTCCCTTTTTTAAGTAAATCAAGCTAGTTTAGCTTCAATTGCCAATAATTCAACCCAATTGGACTGTTTATTTGTAGGTTTCGAATATTCCAACTCTCAGAATGAGATGAATCCATCAAAGCTACCAGACTGGCAAGATAATTTAACAAAGTCAACAATTGCTGGAAATAAATCACTCCAACACAAGTTTTGTACAGGGAAAGGGTATAATTTAGTGACTCACCCTCTAGATTTTCCACTGTCAGGGAATGTAGGAATTCTAGCACTAATAGCACCCTCAAAAGCATCTTTAAGACTATCTTCAGTGGTATCATAGGACAGATTTCTGGCTGTTAATGTCTTGTTCTTAGCTGGTGCTCCAAAACTTCTACGCTCACCACCGCCTAATGAAGAAAATAAATCATGTCACAAATTAACACTTCCACATTTATATTATCGTTACATTCAGTTCTAAACATGATTTTCGTCTCAAAGAATCCTGTAATTAGGTCACTCATGCAAGTCCAAGACAATTAATACAGAGTGCGAGTAATACTGGGAGTGCACTGCCTGACTTGAAATATTCTAAACTTGTGTAAATGTAGAGTGAAATGGAAAAAATACCGAAAAATGAAATCTCTTTCAAAGCAGTTAAAGTAGAAACTAATTCAGATGTCAACAGAGAATTATAAATCTGTGAATAAAGGGCTAACTTTTCTAATATTTCTTCTGACACACCCCATTGTTATTGTTGCAATCTTGGTAATCAAAAACTTACCAGAGTTGTTTTTCTCAGCTTTGTCAATTCTGATTTCACAGCCATCGATTTCAGATCCATGAAGCTGCATAGCTTTATCCAGATCATCACTATCTTCTAAATCAATATGACCAAATCTAAAAAAATAACAACATAAATGGAAAGCTCAATCAATGTCATGGTTTTGGTCAGAGATATCCTACTACGTAATTGATAACCTAGACATTGATTCACTTCCAGAAACATACGTCCATCATTCCTTATTTTGTATACCTGGACATGATAATATGCGCATTTATTAATACAATATGGCGCTCCATATGAGCCTGAATATATGTGAACTATAAAGTTTCTATAGATTAATTTAACAATGATGAAAAGTTAAAAGGTCAGCTATTTACTCAGTACTGTAATGTTATTTCTATCAATCAAATTACTAACTAAAATTCATACCTTTTGCCTTCTCTCTTTCGGACATCACTGAGTTCAACACCATTATCAGAGAAAAATTTCTTGATAGTGTCAGGGGTGGTCTCGAAATCAAGTCCACCAACAAACAGAGATACTGGGTCAGATTCCGATTTAGATTTTTTCGCTGGGGCTTCTTCTTCATCATCATTTTTACGTTTCTGGGCTTTTGGTTTTTCTTCCTCTTCTTCATCATCATCGTCATCATCATCTTCTAAAAGAGAAAAATTGTAAAAATCGTTAAAAATATGAATCAAGTTCCATAAAAAAAGATAGCTTGCCAGGCAAGGTAACATACACCCACTGGCAGCTGTCAGAAATGATTAAACAGTCTTTAGTGACTACAGGGTTGCACAATATAACTAATAGAGTGAAACGTCAAGTCAGACAGGATATTTCGGTGAAATATTATCCGATCATCACCAAAATCGATAGGGATCATCTTCATAATGACATTGACATACAAAATAAAAATCAAAAGAATCTGTAAACAATTGTAGCCTGTAGAGTGAGCACAAGTTGCACAATATAGCTAATAGAGTAAAACGTCAAGTCAGACACGATATTTCGGTGAAAAATTATCCGATCATCATGAAAATCAATAGGGATCATCTTCATAATGACATTGACATACAAAATAAAAATCAAAAGAATCCATAAAAAACTGTAGCCTGTAGAGTGAGCACGAGCCAAATGTGAACGGACTGACGGGGTGATTACAATATACGCCCATCTTACGTGTGGGCGTATAAAAATTTAAAGATTTCGAGTGTCAGAATTGAATTAATATCAAACAGCACACATTTTAGTAATAAAAATCAATACCCAATATAATTTAATAAGAATTTTATGCAATAATTTTGTTGCCAAAAATATCCTTTTGATCATTAATAAATAATGAACTCACTATCTCCATTTTCCTCTTCATCATCATCGTCGTCATCACTTTCCTCTTTTGTAGCTTTCTTAGATTTTTTGGTTTTGGCAGGTTTTTCTGAAAGATGCAAGATTTTTTCAAAAATTTGCCATAGAAAAAAAGATTTCTTGACTTTCCAAAGATTTTCCTGAAATATAAGCTTCTACAAAGTTCTTTAATCTAGGTGGTCCTTGATAAATATTGAATGTTGATGAAAAGATAATTTCCCTGATTTCTCAGTACAACTCTATTACTGAGAGCAAATGCTTTCAGAAAATGAGAGGATCATGCCTTTAGTACTGTCTGTAGTTGGACATTCTAATCTATTGAAATTCCAATTTACTGATGAAAGATCAGTGTTACACCTACCTTCTTCCTCCTCCTCTTCTTCTTCCTCATCATCATCACTGGACTCAGGGGGTGGGGCAGCTTTCTTGGATTTACCATTCTTAACAGCTTTGGTTTTTTTGGTTTTTACTGGCTGTAAAAATAAATAAAAAATTTCATCCAACAAAAGAAAATCTATTTGGATACCAAACTCTTAAATTACATGTAGAAAGTTTAAATTCAGGCGACACTGACCTTTTAGACCAAATGTTGACCATAACCAGTATTGTGGGTAGTACAAAATTTGGCAATGTCAGGCAACAGTGAATTTATTTAAGCAAATTATACCTCTGGTACTTCTTCCGCCTCATCCATGGATTCTTCAGATTCTTCATCTGAACTGGCTTGTTTTACTTCTTTTTTCTTCTTAGTAATAGCAACTTCATCAGTAACCTATGATAAAGATCAATACAAAAGAAAATTAAGTTAGGTAACAACTACATCAAAAATTGAATTACTCAAAATTCAAGTTGGATTCATTTTTTAATCTCACCTGTGCCACTTTACATAAAACATATTTGTCAAGGTCAAATGATTGTACATTTTGTCGCAACTTACACAATGGTAATACTCACCATTTAGGCCATTGGTTACATCTGGTAACTGGGCAGTTTGTATCAAGCACTTTACATCCATCTTTCAAGTAACAAGCATCACCAAGTAGAGAGTGCCATCACTTACAAACATAACCCCCTGGGCCCAGGGAGTGGCACCTTTACGACCAAGCGATTGCCCTTCTTTTAGGGAGAAGGGTTTAAATCGACCAAGCAGTAACGAGCTCACTATCCCTTATGAGGGAAGGGATGTTCAACGACTCAGAGCAAAGGATCCCATGCAAGGGATTTAACGACCATAGGAATCGAACCACAGATTCTTATCAACGACCAAGGGCTTTTCGACCAAGCGTTTTCTTTCACAAGGCACACATTTCTATTATTCATACCATTAATCTTTATCAAGTACAGATTTAGATCTTTTTTTGATAATTTAGCATTAGCACTTCAATTTCAAAAATTCAGTCAAAGAATTAAATACAAAAACTTAATCAAAAATATATTTTCTGAATATTTAAACCGCTTAGATCTGTATCTAAAAGATTTCATGATAACATTTTCAGCATTCTAGATTATCAAGACCACGTGTTTACCAAATAATCAAATATGGCGGATTTCACCATCTTTGTTCAGATATTTCCAAAGGTATCGACAGTTTCAGAAATAAAAGCAACAAACAAATAAATTATAACTGATAATTTCCTAAAATTTAAATAATCTTCAAATTATAACTTAAATTTCGTATTCAAATTTTAACAGGTTTCGATTACCAAGACCACGTGTTTACCTAATAATAAAACATGGTGGATTTCACCAGTCTTTAACAGATCATATTTTCAAAGATTTCCACACGTTTCTAGCAATAATAGCCAAAAGTATTCTTTTCGATCTCACCTTCTTGTTTTTCTTTGATACCTTTGCCTTCATGTTTGTGAATTTTTTATTTGATTTTCAAGAACAAATCAATATGCGTTTTAGGTCAGAAGAAATGCGACTATCTTGGTCGGAAGCGTCGATATAAAAGGCTGAAGTATCACGTGATCAAGAAAACCACGTGTAATTTCCGTGATATTTCGTAAACATCCGTATAATCACGAGGTCAAATCGCCCAAAAACCAATTCGGACAACATTCCATAAAACGAGTACATATTCGTCTCAATAGCTTCAGTAATGGCTTACAGTAATGAAACGAAACGAAATATCAGCACTTTACTTCATAACAATAGACCAAAATTTGTGTCGTTGATTTCTTGCAGAAAAAAAATCCATTACAAATCAAACAAATCGTTACTTTTAAATTATCAAATTTATAAGTATAGTATAATAATCATATTCGTATTCTTAATCGAATATGCTTCAGACCGCAGACAACGTAACTAAACTGTATTTATTATTTTGTTTTCTCTTGTGGCTGGATTGGCTGCATTGAGGCGAACTGTTGCTGCTGCTGTGGCAAGATGGGCATCTGCTGCAACATCTCCTGGCGCCCTTCTGCCTGCCTCTGTCCCTCGTGTAGCACTTCCATGAGCTTGATCTCTGTGGCCCGTTTGATGTCCCCAGGAAGCTGTGCCAGACCATCACCTATATGTCTGGCAAAGGTGGAGGGACCACCTTTCTTGCCAGACATAAATTCCATCAGACATTGTCTCAAGTCACCACTCTCTGTGGAGAGTCTCCGAGAGGAGGGCTCTGTAGACTGGGACTCTGCCCCAGAGTCTGACTGGATGATGTCTACTGTTGGTGGGGGTACTGCTGGCCCAGGAGCTGTGGCTGCTGCTGGTGTTCCCCTCCCTCTACCACGGATGCTCACCACGTTTCTGCGTTCCACAGTTTCGATGTGGTCTTTGATGAAGGAGAACTTTTCCCACACCCAATTGTCCGTGGCAGACAGGTCCTCGACTGTCTCAGCACTATCACCCGACTTCCCCACAGTCCTCTTGATGCGGGTCATCTTGGTACGGTTGGACTTGTAAAAGGTTTTGAGGTCTGCCACCTCAACACGCATGTCAGCAGCTTTGTCCTCCCATTGCTTCTCTTTCTTCTGCGAGTCTTTATAATCTGTCAGTCTCTTTGCGTAAATGAAGGGATTGTCTTTTAGCCAGTCAATGACCTCTTCTTTTTGCGCATTTGTCAATGTTGTATAGTAGTAGGGTTTGTTCTTACGCTTTTTGCGAGCTGCTGCTGTGGTGTCTGGGTGATCACCCCCTGCAGGGTGAGACTGTGGCTGTTCTGGCTCTGAAACCAGCATTTTCTGACGGCGATGGAGTTGGAGACCTCGACCTTTCAGCCACCTGGCCTCTGCCCGTCCTTCTGTGGCTCATGGACTTCGTAGTCACGTATGAGTGGTACTAAAGTCGCAGCGCTGGAGACAGAGATTGGGTATCGTAAGAGAGCGTGAGGGAGCGTGAGGAAGCATGCCAAGCGTAACAAGTCTAACAAAGCGTGTCCTTGATCAAACCGTATCAATTCGTGGGAAAGCGTAACAAAGCGTATCAGATCTTCATTCCAGATCGAAGCAAATCTTGAGACATCTTAACAAAGCGTGTCAAGTTGTGACAGACCGTGAAGACTGGGTCCTCACATTGAATAAAGCTCTTTTAAGTTTTCCTTTTTCCCATGTTACGCTTTGTTAAGCTTTGATACGCTCTCGGCGCTTTAATCAATTCAGAGTAGCCAGTCTCACCCTGCAGGGGGTGATCACCCAGACATCACAGCAGCAGCCCGCAAAAAGCGTAAGAACAAACCCTACTACTATACAACATTGACAGATGCGCAAAAAGGAGAGGTCATTGACTAGCTAAAAGACAATCCCTGAAGAGACTGACAGATTATAAAGACTCGCAGAAGAAAGAGAAGCTATGGGAGGATAAAGCTGCTGACATGGGTGTTGAGGTGGCAGACCTCAAAACTTTTTACAAGTCCAACCGTACCAAGATGAGCCGCATCAAGAGGACTGTGGGGAAGTCGAGGACCTGCTGCTGAGACAGTTGAGGACCTGTTGCTTCTGGATGACTGGTGCCACTCTCTCTAAGATATCATCCAAACCTCAGGGGTCAATCTGGTGAAGTTTCTGGAGGCAGCAGGGTCTTCTAATCTGAGTTGTGTATCCAGGAGGCTAGTGTATTGACCATACTACTGTCTTCTTTCTTCAGTGAGCCATGGCCTGGTCCAGCAGCTCCTGATGCATGGTCTTCTCCCTCCTGCTGGTAGGTCAACCTCCCCTTGTCTTTGCTGTTCTTCTTCCCTCTCCTCCGCCTCAAGGGCTAGGATGTAGTTATACAATAGGGAGACAAACATAGTGTCTTCTACGGATTATGCTCTGGTACATCTAGAACTTCTGGATCTTGTCGTTCTGCCATCATGTTGTGGAGTCAAAGATGAAATGATTTTGTGGATCTGCTCTGGATCAAAAGCGGCATGAAATCGTCGATCTCGAAATTTTTCAATGCGTAAAAGAGCTTAACGATGCACAACAGAGCTTGATAATCGTATCGGAGCGTGATTTAAAGTGTCATAAGGCTTATCAAAGCGTGATTTAAAGCGTAAGAAAGCCTGATCAAATCGGGAAATAATTCGTCCCCAAAGCGTAACCAATTCGTATCAGAGCTTATCAGAACGTAACATTACTTAGGAGATCATGATATTTTTGGAAAAGAAAACAGAAATGATGGCGCTTTGCTCGCCGATTTAAAGCGCGGTATTTGCCGTTGGTGTGAACTAGGCATAAACAGTTTAAAATGTTTTGGCGCTCTTGCCGAATGTCCCGCTTTGCTCAAAGCTTTCCAACCCAACGATCTATTACGAACCTGACGCTTTAGTCAAGCTTTTTTACGCTTTGGTGCCGCTTAGAACGCCGCTTTAAAGCGCCATCAAAGCGCCGTTGGTGTGAACTGAGTATATATATATTGGTTCACTTACCGTATAGAAGGGTTTTACTGTACATAATACAGATATTATTCAGAATAACTTACTCGAAACAATTGATAAAAACCTATATGTGATAAAACCCTTATATAAGGTGGGCTGTTTTCGAACTGTCCAGTTTGTCTATAAAATAACCCTTAACCTAGTTGTCAATACAGATAAACCATCTTAAAACCGCCTTATGGTTGAACCGAAAAGTATAGTACATTCGAAAAGTTAGTGCTCAAATAATATCGGACTGACTCATTCAATTTATCGGACTGTAGAGGAAACGCTTTTTAGAGGCCAGATAAATGAAAACTATAATACAGCAAAATCTGGAGAAAAATACGTCAAAATATCTGAGATTGCCCGAATTTCTAATATAGTTGTGAGATTTTTGCCCGAAAAACTTGCTTTCGGGGCTACGAGGGGGGTGTTGGGTCGGGGAAGAATCAAAGCAAGAAATAAGATAAAGACAACTGTATTTTTTGAGAATTCAGGATACATAAACAATCAGGCTTCTACAATTTTATATTGTCACTATTATCAAGTCTCAATTTTTAATGAATAGTTCTATTAGATCTGATTATTAAGTCTATCAGTAATAACAGCGTCTAATATTAGACTATGGATTTTTATACAGTCCAATATGCTTTAAAGGATCACAAACACTCCCCCCTATTGGCCTGCAAATCAGGTCAATACAGTTCCATTCACATTGTCTAACTTAAAAGTCTTTCTTCAATTCCGATATCCACTGTCTTCTTAATTTCTCTCCAGCAGTAGCAGTGCGACGTTTTGGTCGTTGGTAAGTGTCTGATTTAACAGGTTCTGGAGGTTCAATATGTTCTAGAGGTTCAGCAGGTTCCGGAGGTATATCAGTTTCAATATCTGGATGTAAATTAATTTCCAAAGGATACAATAGTTTCAGTGGACGTTGTAGAAGAGAAGGTATTCGATTCTTATTGCAAATTCTAACAACTGCTCCACGCACCTTGTCGTCAGCTCCAGATAGCAATTCCATTACTCGTCCTAGTTTCCAAAAACTTCGAGGATGATCATCATCGTGGACCATGTCGCCCTCAGGAATAATCTTGTGTTCATTAGGTGTCTTTCCACGGCTATCTATATGACAGTTTCTTAATTCTATCAAGTATTCTTTTCAGCGTCAGATCTAGACAAAATAAATTACTCGCTCGAGAAAATCACAAATCGCCTCGGCGACATGGTAACTTCCTCACAACTTGAAGTAGCACTTACGAACTTTTTCGACAAAATGAAAATTGAAATTAGAGACGAATTAAAAGCAGAATTACTTGAAACATTTAATTCCACTTAACTCGAATTGCAATCCAAAATCGAATCTCTAACACATGAGCGCGACGATCTTAAAGTGAAGGTAGACCAATTGGAGAATAAGAGCGATTATATTCAGGGAATCGCCAGAGAAGCCATCCAAATAGTGAATAGAAACGAACAATATTCTCGTAAATATAATATAAAAGTTTTAGGCTTGAAAGAAAAACCAAATGAAAATCTACGCGAAGAGGTGAAACGGCTCTCTATATTATACGCAAATGCGAAAATCGAAGATATCGATATTGCTGCTGTTCACAGAATTCCTTCGTCCAAACCCTCTGAACCAAAATCAATTGTTCTAAAATTTTTGAAATCGGAGAAAAAGACAGAAATAATGCGCAAAAGACAGACTTTCAAATCCAAAGGGATAATGTTGTTTGACGACGTTACACGTCGTAACGTAGAACTTATAAACCGACTCAAACATAATGAACATATCGAGAATGCTTGGTATTTTAATGGTAATGTTCATTTTAAAACAGTTCAAAATGAAAGGTTTACTTGTGATTTATTCGACAATATTAATGAAAAAATCCACAATCGACGAACCATGTAAATGTCAATATGTAGCAATTTAAAGGAGCACTGTCATAATATAGAAATAGAAATATATATTTAAATTTAAGTTTGAAAAATATTCGAAATATTGAAAAATATCAAATCTCATTGAAATCATGTTAATTCAAACAAAGACAGCTCTCCTTTAATTGATTTATTAACTTATTGATCAAATGATAGGGAAGAGCACTTTCAAGGAAAAAACATCCCTTCTCCTGCTTCTTTGATTGAACTCCATTTTATTTTTATTTGTTTTTCCTTTCTCTTTTGTTTTTCTTTATTATAACGAATATGTTCAACGTTTATAATTGTAATCTTCATACTTTAATTCAAAACACATCACAATATACACTCAAACATGATGTATCTACAAATACATCTATACTCACAAAAAAACATAAACATGAAATATCAAAAACAATTAAATACCTCGTTATGTATTTCCAATACATCTATCACTACACCATATATAATCACTTTAATAATTCAAAATGTGTGCATCCAAATTAATATCTTTAAATATTAGGGGACTCCGAGATAGACATAAAAGATTCAAACTATATACATGGCTAAAAGACAGGGATTATGACGTCATCTTACTCCAAGAAACACACAGTACTCCTTCGGACGAACAAATATGGAGAGATGAGTGGGGTGGGGATATATTTTTTGCTCATGGGAAAAGTAACTCGGCTGGGACAGCTGTGTTATGCTCCCAACATATTAAATACATTACAATCCACAAACACAGACCTGATGAAAATGGCTATTTCAATATCTTAAATATAGATATTGAAAGCTATCCATATATACTTGTTAATACTTATAGCCCTACCAATGACCAATTACAAGAAACGTTCTATCAAAAATTAAACTCAGTTATTAAGAATAGCATTGATTTAACGTACAATAATATTATTATAGGCGGTGATTTTAATAATGTCTTGAATAAGGATTTGGATCGTTTAGGGGAAAACTACAAAATTAAGAGAAAGGGTCTCTGAAATAGGAAAGATAATTGACGACTTTGAGTTAGTTGATGTGTACAGAAATCTTCACCCTAAAGAACGCAAATTTACATGGAAACAAAACAACCCCCCCATTAACAGTAGAATAGACTATTGGCTTATTGCAGATATAAATTCACATTATATTAAACTAGCTGAAATAATACCTACACTTTTAAGCGATCACTCGGCAGTACTAATTGAAATAAACCATATAAACGAAAAGAAAGGTCCAAAATTGTGGATATTCAATTCCTCATTAACACAAGATAAAAACTATATAAATTTAATAACTCAATCCCTTAAAGCGTGGGAAAATGATTTCTTTGACAGAAATGATAGGCGCGGACTCTGGGATTTTTTGAAGTATAAAATTAAACAGGAAACTTCAATATATTGTAAGAAAAAACAAAAAATT